TTTACTTAAATTAACTTACCTTTACGGTTTACGGTACGTAACTTAGTTAAACGTTAAGTTAGTTATATTAGTACGTTATTACTATTATTATCTATATATATATATATATATATATATATATATAGATGTATGTATATATTAATTAGACTGGACAGGTATAAAAGAGCTTTGAATTTAAGTTCTTACTCATACTTGAGTGTGTAAATGTGGTGTTAAAGATATTAAACTGCATCATTGTAGGTACCAGAAGGTTCCTCTAGCAAATAAAAAACTAGTTATGTAAGTTGCTTTTAATTTTACTTATGTACAATCATTAACAAATTTTGATTTAAACATAAAACTTCAGTTTTTTTCCAAACTACAAATGAGAAGAGAACATCTCTGGCTTATGAAAAACTGAAAGGAGTCTAGCTGAAATAAATTACATGAATTATAAACATGAGTTACAATTTCTTTCATGGCTTAAAAGAGAATTTTTTTTTTCTTTAAATTAAAGTTAATTTGTGGTTATATTCTAGACAGCATTTTGGTTTTAAGCAATTTGTTGCTTCCAAGAAACAAAGTTAATAAACCATTGATTATATTAATTTATGAACAATATATTCATTATAGTATTTGCTCTAGACATCTAAATTGTAGAGATATGTCACTCTTATCTAGACACTGTTAATTTCAATAACTAAATGTCTCAATATTTCATCTTGAAATTATTAAGGTGATGTAAAATGAGTGCTTTTATCTAGCTAGAGCTTTTACTAGTATAATGAAATGCATTTTTTATTTACTTAAACTCCTGAGCTACCACAGCATCTGTTAATACTCCTTCACTTCAGAAATTATTACTAAAGTACATTTACTTCAGGAATTAAATTATTAATTCATTTTTTCAATAAAATACATGATTTTCTAAAAATTGGCTGTTTTTAAACTCAGTTTGTCAAATGTGGATTGGTTAATTTAGGTTTTTCTTGCAAATGAGTTTGGAGAAATAACTTTTAGTGTAATTGAAATCCTGATTAAGCAGTCCCATTTGTTCAGTGAAAAATGAAGCTATATTAACTATGAAATATTTTTTCTTACAGATTGCAAAATAGAAAGAGTGAAAAGAAATTTTGTGAGTCATGTTTCCTGTACTACAGCTTGACTTTTGTGTCAGTGGAGATTCTGATAATGAAACTGAACTGCCAAAATTGTACATTCCTAAGGGGCTCTTAGATGAAATTATTCGACAAATTAGGCTCCGAAAAACACGTATGGGTATTCCTCAGATGCCAGGATATTACAAAGTAACTTATTTTATAACATTATTTTATTGACATTCTAAAACTAAAATAATTTGTATTTTACTTTCAAACTCAGATCCAGTATTTACCTATAAAAAAGTAGTAATAGTAATATTCAATTTCTAATTCTTTTATATTGACACTTGTGATGATGTTCTCTGACATGTACAACTAGGTTGTCAACAATAGCCTCGATTAGCTCTATAATGATACAATTGAGTGATCTCACGAACTGTTTTTTACCCATGAAGATGAGTTACACAAGACAGTTTATAAATACTGGACAAGTAACATTCACGTATTGAGTGGTGAATCACATTAGATACTAGTAGATTAAATTTATAATTTTCCTATACTGAAAATGTATTTCCAATAGGTACTGATCTTCGCTCACATAATTAGTTATTCTTGTTTAGTGCTGCCCTCTATATGCAAACTTTTTCTTTATGTATGCCACAAGCCTTCTGCTCCTCCCTTTTGGAATTGCAAGACTCCAACATTTCTCTCATGCAAATCATCATACATCACCTTCTCACAAATAGGAGCATGATATGCTCGCGTGATGCATGTGACTCCCTCTACACTTCTCTACCGAACTATCACTTCAAAGTTTGGCAGAAAATGTCAGCACCAGAGAAATGTGGGGAGGAAGGGTGGGAAGTGTGAGAGGAGGGAAGTACCTATCAGAAATACATTTTCATTATAGGAAAATTATGACTTCCAATACAGTTCATTACCTATTCTCACATAAATAGCTAGAATAGGCACATTGACTAGGCAGAGGGACTGGTGCAAGGAAAGAAAAGAAGCATCTTTTGAAAGTGTCCAAAGGATACCCCTTGAGACTAGAGAGTCAGATTCAAAGACCTGATGTGGGAGACCACACTACTTCTGCACCAGGTATACTCTTTGCCCGTCTGAGAAAAGTGTGGTATATATGAGTGGAAAACAGAAGAGCACATCCAATTAGTGTAGGTAAAACAGTGGAATTGCCCCTAGGTGTAGAGTTGCCAGGGTGCGACAGACCATACTCAGCAAGTCAATTGCATCCGAAGCCCATGCTGCTGGAACCGACATCCACTCGGGGGTGGGATGGGGATAATACCGTCTTCACCCTAAGTTCAAGAGACCAAAGAGGATCTCAAACCCCCCTGACTCCAGAACAGGACATATGTTAAGAATAGAAAATGATATATTGATCCGGGAACCTGGCATCTGGAATCAAAAATATGTCTACCATAGAGAAATTAACTTCCTCAACATTGAAACTGACAGGAACCAACCCAGATGCAATAACACCCTCAGAATAAGGTACAAGGAGAGAGAGCAGAAGGGAAAAACCATAACAATTCCAATTACCTCCACCATGACCCACAACATAGATGGAGTATGGTTGAGGGAGGAAGACAGACATTCGTAATACATGTGAGGACTTATGTTGATTGGTTTTATGTTAAATCCACAACCTGCCAGTGGGAACTGACATCCATGTGGTGGTAGGATGAGGGATCCCAACTGAAGTGGTGAACTGCAATTGGATGTGTCACTCCTTTGGTTTACATATGCTTTATAACATAGGATATGTCATCTACACCATCAGAACACCACCACCCTAGTCTGCACAGAATGGTATTTCTGTATTGAAATTTTATGTCATTAAACCATTCAGGAGGATGCCTCCACAGTCTACCATCACAGTGGTTTAGAACTGGTAAGTGGGAAGGACTCTCAAACTCTGCTAGAAGAAAAGGAGAGTGAAACATGGTGGAGATTCTGGCGGAATGTCAAGACTTGAGACAGTGCAATGGGTGACCATGAAACCCTATTTTTTAAAAGCATATCATACTGATTTATTCAACACAAGGCATGGCAGGGATGGGCAGCTATCCCCTCCTGCTTTACCCATGTGGTCCATGGGTGGTATGGTCTGGGACAGGCATATTTATGCAGCAATTTCATCATGAGAACAATGTGCAAGAGGATGATGAAAGAGCAGAATAAGCCAATGAAATCAAATGCATAACACAATTGATGAGGGTGGAAGGAGAAAGATCATGAATCATTACCAGATGATGTCTGGCCAGATGGAGGAAATGATCCAAGGCCTGACAGACAGCAAGAAGCTCCAGTGTTGATGTGATAAAACTTCTTGGGTGCAAACCAACACCTCAAAACATCTTATTGATCGACCCATGCCCCCCATCCATGGAGGGTAGTGTATGTGAAAATATTTAAATCTGGACAAGGAGAAGGAAGCAAGACACCTGCCAACAAGTGGTTCCTGTCCAACCACCAATGCAGATTGTCGACTGTGGTAGGAGGAAGGGTAATAAGAGTTTGCAAAGGATCCTGTGCAATATTCCACTGGTCATGAAGAGCCCACTGAAGAGCTTGCATATGAGCACGACCACATCCCCAAAAGCAATAGAACCTCAAGAGCTGTAAAAGGAGGAGCAGTAAGAGCATGGTGAACTGAGAGCTCCATTGAACAAAGTTGAAGAAGAGAAGGTTGTGCCCGACTGAGACGGGTGTTGAAAAACAAAAACACCCAAATGGATGAGATACTGAGTAGGAAAGACATCTCCAATTTGATTAACCAGTACACTTGAGCCACCTCCTGGAGCAGCTAAAGAGTATGACAGGCAGACTCCTGTTTGGAACAAGCTAACAGTAGCCAGTCATTCATATAATAATGAAAACACATTTCGAGAGTATGAAGATGACGAGCAATAGCTTAAACCACCTGACAAAAAACATATGGAGCCAAAGAAAGTCTGATGGGTAGTGCGCAAAACTGATTAATCACCTCTCAATGGACAAACTGAAGTTATGGCCATGACTGCCAAGCTATCAGTATATGTAAGAAAGCATTCTCAACATCCATCTTGTTAATCCATAAACCTGGAGAAAAAGCCAACCTGAGGGTGAAAAACAATTCCATGGTAAAATGAGGGAGATTGAGAAATTGATTGAGGTGGAAAAATCAATGACAGGCTGCCGGTCTCCAGTTTCCTTGGGGACAAGAAACAGCCTGGAATAAAAACCGAGAGAAAGATGATTCATGGGTTTAATGGCCTGTTGAAACAAAAGGTTTTGAACTGCCTCTGACAGATGCTGGCTGGTAATAGGATCCTAAGGTAGAGGGGAGGAAATGGGTTTCTATGACAAAGGAGGAGGGGAAAGGAATTGTAGGATAAGTCTGACTGAGAAAACCCAAATAACCCACTGATCTGTGATATAATATTGCCAAAGGGAAACAAAGTCACTCAATCGAGCTCCCACTGGTACTGTTGGCATCGTGCTGATCTACATAAAAGAAAATGACGAGATATGGAACTCCTGGAAGAAGGAACAGGTAGGGGCTGAGAAGGACTAGGACTGGAAACAGGAATAGGGGCTTGTCATGATTCTGACTGTGACAAATGAGCTACGAAACATGAAAGGGTAGAGTGTTGATGCAGGGATTCCACTCATGATTCCAAAGTGTCTGGGATATGGAAAACATACTGCCTAAGAAAAGAGGCTATACATAATTCTCTGAGATAGATGGACAGCAAACAAACTTGTGACAAGGCTGTATCATGACTATAAAGATCCCAACAACAGAGAAACCATGTGTGAAAGGTGAGAGCCATGGAGGACAAACGAGCCAATGCGGAGGTAATAAGGGAGAGGCTATCCCTCAACAAACCATCAGGATTTCAGTGTATGTCCTCTGGTAAGAGATGTATGGTAGATAAATACCGTAGAATAGAATTAATGGTAAAACAAAGGCGTGAAAACTGGGCATGGGTTAAATGCACCGGAAAATCAGGGAGTGCCTCTCAAACCAGCAAATTAGACTCCAACAACTGAGAGTCTAGAAATGGGCAGTTTGCATGATGGTATACCAAAGCAAACTGATCCGTAGCCTATGGGGGCGAGGCATGCTGGCACCTTCAACCATTTTGGAGGCAAAATGCTCAGCATGAACCCTAATATCTGAGGAAGGTGAGAAAACAAAATAAGGAGAAGAACAAGAAGAACTATCATGCATCAAAGGATGACAAGGATCATAGAAAATCGGGGAAAGGGGTAAAACATCACATACCTGAGAAATCATATCTAAAAATACCATATTAGGCCTAGCTGAATCCGCAGATGGCACATAGGAAAACATGGCAAAATCCAGTGGTGGAAAAATAACTCAAGTACTTTCAGGCAGTGAACTTTCCTTCATCAATGATATATATATATATATAAAATCTTCTTTAATACAGATGTTTCCAAGTTTCCATCATCACCATTAAGATATTAATACTGATGATGGAATTTAAGGAAATTCCAAAATGTTCATATTAAAGATGTTTCTTGGTATTACTGTGTTTTTAATATTTATTTAAAAAATACCAATTTCAATATACTTTTTTTTGATAATGCATGAAACATGAAATAGTTTTATTCATACATAAACAGAGAAATCCCTAAAATATTCTTGATCTTTAGGTAGCAGTGTTTAGGTAACAAGTTATCTGCTGTATGTGATTAAATGTCGTACTGCTATACATTCTACCTCTTGGGGTATGCCTTGAGAAACAGTTAAGCTGGTTGGACTTGGAGGACACTTTTCTGGGTCATTAGCATTTACAAAATATGAAAATGATGAAGCTTTTTGAAGTTAATAATCAATAGTTAATTATATTAATCTTTAACTTCAGTAGCATTACTTTTATCAAATCCTGTAAAACTGCCCATGGAGAAGATCTTAATTTCTCAGGTCCACCACCTGATGTAAATTTTGCTGATTACATGTGTCCTTTTGAAAATACATACAAGAACACAACAAACTTACCTCCAATCTAATTCAAGACTTATTTAAGATTAAAATTAAAGCCCTTGCTCTTTCACTATTTCCCAATCATAACTTTTCATGCCACTCTTTCCTCTTTAAAAAGGAAGAAATTTCAGCTTTAAAGGAGCTTTTAAACATTCCACACATAACAGTAACATGCCTGGACAAAGGAAATGGAGTTATGTTATTAGACAAAACAAACTAACTTGAAAAAAAATGAGTGACATTCAAAGACATTACAAAATGCAAATCCCTTATTTCAGATATGTTCTCCCTCACAATTCTAAAGGAATAAAAATGACAGCACTTCCTTAAGGAATTAAAAAACAAAAACTATTACTGAAAATGCATTCAACCAATTATATTCCTTAGAATCACAACCCAGGATAGCATATAGCATCTCTAAGGTCCATAAAAAGTACCATCCTTCATACCCTATCCTTTCAGCAATTAAAATACACAGTTACAAGGTAGCCAAATTCCTTGTATTTATTCTCAAACAATTTCTGTGTAATGAATTTATTGTCCAGGAATAATTATGTTTTGTAAAGAAAAAGAATTCATGGCACAAGATTAGTTTTAAAAGAAAAACAACTTTCCTCAACTTGGGTGTTCAGGGATATTAATATCCCCCTTCTCCCCACTCATGGAGATCATGTTTCATTAAAGTGGGCTTTTAATAAATGTATTAGGATATAAGTCCTGATTGAAATTTTCCACTGGAAACTGTTGAAGGCAGAGATGGGCGAAGCAAAGGCAAAGATGTCAAAGCCAAAGATTGACATCATAGATTTTGACAACTGTTGACTAACTTGGATGGCCCATAATCAGGGTCACAGGTTGGTGGGGATCTATAAATCCAATTCCCTGAAATTTGTTCCATGGGGGAAAATGGAGTACCCCAAGAAAACCCACTTTCACAGGACAGGTGCTAAATAATCTGTTTGCTCTGTACCCAAGATGTAAAACAAAAACATAGGATTAGTTATAAAAACTTAAACAAAATATAATTTTTTAATAAGTTAAAAAATGTGCATCCTCCCAATGAATGTTTTATGGTTTGGTTTGGTTTGATGTAATTGCTTTATCCACGAACATGCAATTGGATGAGACCCTCAGTATATGCTTGGAAAAAAAAAAAAACTTTAGAGAGTATTCTCTTGTTTATGGTTTAACTGACAAACCATTTAGATCCTTAGTTACCCATACTATGAAATGGCAAAAGTATATGAGGAAATTGGTGGTGTGGTTATGATATCCACAATGGAACCAACTTTAGCTAACGCCCTTCTTAGCTATTTTGAACAATCTTGGTTGAACAATGGTCAAAGAACTTGAAACTAGTATTTTACAAATGCTGTGTTGATGACATGTTAATCACTTTTCAATAAAAATATGAAGATAATTTCTTGAGTAATTAAACACACAACTTTCACATTCCCTAGTGGAACAGTGGTAAGTTTACGGACTTACAATGCTAAAACCCAGGGTTCAATTCCCCATGGTGGACACAGCAGATAGCCCAGTGCGGCTTTGTTTAAAAACAAACAAACTTGTAACTTTCACTTATAAAATTTAAATGGGAATTTGAAGAACAGAATACTTTACTTTTTCTGGATGTACTAATTACCCAAGATACTTAAATTTGTCAGTGCCAATGTACGTCAATAAAAAGCTCATAGGACAGCTTACCAAGTTTGATAGTTCTAGTTCTGTAGCATATTAAATCAACCTAGCAAAATATTAACTAACTTGAGCCTAAATGACTTGTACAACTTATCTTATATTCTAAGTTTCAGTTTTGTTCTGTAATTATGGATGACCAAAGATCCAGCTGCACATTGAAATAATTATTGTGTCGGTAAGGAAAGTAGAAGTAATCAATTGTAGTAGTAATTCTAGGGTTGCATGTGTAGGAACATGTCCAGAAGTGAATACATGGTTACCAACAACATCTGAAATTGCTAGTTGAGGATTGTGCTAACAATGTATACTTAATACAATGGCAGCAGCTGAATGACTTTTTGGCAGAGTATGCTGATGTATTTATGGGAATGAATGGCAAATGTGGTCCAATAACAGCCATACTACATCATATAAATACCTTTGCTGCACATCTGATTAATCCTCTTTCTCTCAACAGATAGGACAAAGGATGCATGTCATAAAGTTTTAGTTATTTTCAAAATTTAATTAAACAACTTTATTATCAATGTACGTCAATGAAATTGGCATCACAGTGTAGTTTATCATTTAAATTTTGGTATTATATATGTTTTAATTCCTTAATTTGAAAACAATTTTTAGAAAATGTGCCAGATATCCCTTTTTGTATGTCATATGCCATGTCTTATCTTATTGCTCAGTTTATATCTTATTACACCTATACAATATATATAGTGTTTAAGGAATGAGAAGTGTAAATTTCAAACATTTACAAACTACAATATAAAATAAGAACCTTCCACCTTTTTGATTTGCTTAGATATTGATATATTCTTCAAACCTATGAGGATAGCCCCCACCCATAACTCCACTCTTTTGAAACTTCTTGTCTACTAACACCTACTTCTCTTAGGTACATGTTTATAACAAATAGAAAGAGCACATTGAAAACTATGTAAATCTGACAGTTGTTTGTAATTGGCTTGAGGGGAAAACTTGTAATTTGAGAAGAAATGTGAAGTCCATTGGGTTAGTCAATGATTTGAACAGGAATGAGATTTTTTTAAATCAACATGTAGCTTAGTTAGAAAGTCAGGTAAATTACAGTACTTTTATGTGTACAAATATAGTAATTTTATGATTTTGGGGTTTTCTAAAATACATCTTGGAAATTTACAAAATTAAGTTATCTTCCCCCTCCACTAGAGAGAAAAAATGAGGCTTAGCAAGTATTATGTTGTAAGAAAAATAAGTAAAGATTGAACATTTATGTGTGAATAGTAGTAATATATGTATATGTTCATAAGCACTTATACACCTTGTACTGCTGAATTGCAACTACCCTGGGAGGATAACTAACATCCAAATACCTACCAAGTGTTTTGGATTGGTTAAGACTTTATAAAGAGCCATATCATAAAAAAAATTTCACACTATTATTACTTTAGATAATTCTAATTGCAACTACTGTATTATAGTATAAACAAGCTGATAAATTCCAACTATTATACATATTATAAAACAAAGCTATTGTACATTTTAAATCTCTCAATACATGCACGTAAAAATCAACATTTAAGGCTAAAGTTATTGAAGGTGGTAGATCCCATGCTTTTCTAATACTTTAGGGGAGAGTAAAAAAAAAGAGTTGATACCATTATGGAAGAAAAATATAAATAAATGAAACAGTGACAAATAAGGACAATGATTTTTACACTTCCTAATCCCATAATTTTAAAAATTCACTATTTAATGACATTGCTTTATGAAGAGTTCAATCAAGAAAAAATCTCAAGATCTTAGTCAAAAATGGTGATTATCCACAAAGGCGAGGTGTTTATACAAAAAAAATTATGTACAGATGTATATTTCTTTTATATCTTTGCACATCTCTGCTTTATAGGTTTTTGTTTCATTCATGCTCAACTGCATAACACAATGGCATTATTTAAAGGATTTATTTGATTAAAATATATACTCTTCTCATATATGTATATATATATATATATATATATATAGTATTTCACTTATTAATGCTGAATATACAATAAAAGCCTTTGAGCCTTAACTCATTTGACACAGAACATGTTTCCTGTGT